TCTAAAGGATTAATAATAATACAAAATACTTTTTGTACCATAATGGAATTCAAGTAGAAATCAGTAACAGAAGGAAATTTGGAAATTCACAAACATATGAAACTTTAACAACATATTCTTAATACAGTGGGTCAAAAAAATCAAAAGGAAATTAGAAAATATTTTGAAATGAATAGAAATGAAAGCACAGCACTGATGGCATGCTGTAAAAACAGTACTAAATGGGCAATTTATACCTACAAGTGCCTAAATTTAAAAAGAGGAAAATTCTTAAACCAATGACCTATTCTTATATCTTGAGAAACTAGAAAAAGAGCAAACCGAACCTAAAACAGAAGGAAGAAATAATAAAGATTAGAGAAGAAATAAAGAATAGAAAATAATTGAGATAATGAATAAAACAAAAGTTGATTCTTTGAAAAGATCAGTAGCATTGAAAAACTTAGCTAGACTCACTAGCCCCTTCAAAGAAACCTCACAAAAAGCAAAATACTTCAATCAAAAGTAATAAACTACTTAATAATAAGTTAATTAAAAAATAAAATTAAATAAAGTTAATTATTAGCAAACATTACAAAACATTGCTTAAATAATTTTAGAAAGAACTAAATAATTTAAACATAGTCTATGCTTATGGATCAGAATATTAATGTTGTTAACATAGCAATCCTCCCCCAAATGGACTACTGGTTAACAAAAATCCCAATAAAAAGCCTAGTCAGCTTCCTCCCATTCCCACCCAAAAGTTAACAAGCATATTCTTAAATTCCATTGGAAATACAGGGGCCCCGAATATCCAACCATCTTGAATAAGAACAAAGTTGTAGTACATACCCTTACTAATATCAAAACTTACTGCGATGTGGGTTAAGGAGCAGCACTGCAAGCTAGCCACTGTCACTTCAGTGGAGTTCGATCCCCGCCCCGGAAGTGATCCACATGGCGCAGCACACCTCTCCTGTTTCTCCTGCTGTTAATGTTAACAGCAATGTATCTTGTCAGTCTGCCTATTCTGCTCCCTATTCTGTCTCTAGTGAATCCTCTCACTGCTCTGTACCTCTGGCCTGCAACTTAGTTCTATATGCATAAATGAATAAATATTTTTAAAAAAGGACATTGGAGTCCTGGTTCACACCACTTCTGAAAGTTAATTCAAAATGGATCCAGACCTAAATATAAGAGCAACTACTGCAAAACTCTTAGATACAAACACAACAGGATAAGTACTCATTACCCTGGGCTAAGTGACGGTATGTAAGTATGAAATCAAAAGTATAGCAAAAGAAGAAACATATACATTTTACTTCACTGAAAGTAAAAACTTTTGCTTTTCAAAAAACACTATCTTGAAAGTGAAAAGACAACCAACAGAACGGGAGAAAATACTTGCAAGCAATCTGTCTGATGAGAAAATATTTGCAAATAATCTGATCTGTCTGAGTAATATGCCCAGAATGTATAAAGAACTTACAATTCGACAACAACAACAAAGCAACTGGAATGTCAGCAAAAGGTCTTAATAGACATTTCTATAAAGAAGATACACAAGTAGCAGTAGAGAGGAGTGAAAATGTTAATGCTATAGATCTACTGATGCAAGAGAAAAGAAAAGCAGTTCATTTAAAGTAAGTGGAAAGAGATGGTTCTGTGAAGAAATCTTCAGGTGCTTAGGGAGAGGTCTGAGCAATGACACAACCCATTATACTAACATGGCAGAGGTGAAGAGAGGCAGAGTGATTTGCATAAGCTCACACAATAAACTCATGATAATGGAAGGGTAGGTGGCATGCTGTGGCTCAGTGTTCAGGAAATGGACGTTGGAATCAGATTGACCTGGATTTGAATACCAGCTTCATCGTTTACTGGCTTGTCTGAGACTTTTTGTGTTACCTAATCTCTCAAGTTTCTCATCTGTAAAATAGGGAATATAATATTTACTGACAGGATTGTTGTATGGATTTAGTAGTATATGTGAAATGCTTACTTTGTGACTTGTGCCTGCCATACAGGAAGTATTCAATATACTTTAACTATTAATGCTAGAATTGAATCACAGGCCCCCTGATTCTTAGTCCAGTGCTTTGTTGGTCATTCAACACTTTCTCAGCCAGAGGACATTAACATTAAGCAGGCCACCTTCACTGGAACTTTCTTAAATCACTCCTCTCGACTCACTCTTATTTGTAAGATCTGAGACCTCTGGTTTTTGTGGGGGCTCAAAAAGACTGATAACAGTAGCAGAAGCAAGTTTAACCACTACTATATATGTCTTCTACATACCTACTCTGCTTTCTGTGATGGACAAAATGGTTTTGCTTAGTAAGATACTAAGATGGGTGCCTAAAGAGACCCTCTGCCCCATATTTCAAGAGAGGTTCAGAAATGTGAAAACCTCTCTACTCTTCTTACACTTCCTACATCTGTCTGGAATTGTTTAAGCATGAGTAATAAAATAAAATGAGAACAGCCAAAGATTATCTAGAAAAGGACAGGTTTAGCAACTTGCTTAGTTCCTGGCAAACAGGGACTTGTAACCCATTTTCCTATTTGTTTATTTTTAAAATGTATTTTTAATTTATGACTACTATTTTTATGGAAAATATAATTACATACACAAGGAATAATGTCAAAAAAGCAAGAAATATATAATTAATCAAAAAGCACCTTTCTCCACCAGTGTTTTTCTTCCAATGCCTTTCCTGGCTGCTACTACTGTTAACAGTTTCCTGCGTAAACTTTCAGAAATATTCTAGCTAAGTAATATTATGTATAACACACACACACACATATGCAAGTATATGAAAAGTTTGCTTTTTAAAAAATGAATAGAAACCTACTCTCTATATGGTTCATACCATATTTTTTCCCCCACTCAACATTGAAAGTTGAAGGTAGTTTCATATCAAATATAGTCTTTCACTTTCTTTTTAACGATGGTGTAACAATCTATGGAAAGGAAGTGGCACACAAATTTTTTTAAATTTTAAAGATTTATTTATTTGTGCATACAGAACTGGGGTACAGGCCAGAGGCTCAGGGGGCGGTGAAAGGCTTCACCAGAGACAGAGTGGGGAGCAGAACAGGCATATTGAGGAAGTACACTGCTGAGGGGAGCAGCAGGTGGGTCAGGAGAGGTCTGCCACACCATGTGGTCACCTCGGGGGCAGGCGGGAATCAAACTCATGCAGAAGCAGCTTTAGATTCTCAGTGCTGTGCTTTAACCCGCTGCGCCAGCAGGGAGGGCCGGCACACAAATTTTACCTTAACTTCCAGTTTGTTTGTCACATGCTTTTTTTGGTCGATGGCAACACCATTGTCATACTTTTTGTGTTCTAAACCTTGAAGTAAGTAACATTAAGGGTTCTCCTTACCTAGATCTAGTAAATCATGTGAAGATTGCTTTTACAATATTTTCTCATTCTTTTTTTCATTGTTACCTCCCTGTTTAGCCCTTAAACTTTTGTATAACCTCTCCCTGTCTTCAAATTTTCTGTCTTTGCCTGTCTTGCACATTTGATCAAGTTTCCTAGTGCCTAGGTTCTCACTGACTGCATCACCAATCTTCTTAAAGACCGCTAGTGGATTCCCTTTCATTGTGTTATGTAAAAATCAATATGATCAATACATATGATTTAAAATTTTAATATGTGTATGTTGTGAAATGCAAATGTATGAACCAAATGTCTAGCTGTAGGACTTTTTTTTAAAAAAATAATATAATAGTTTATTTTTACATCATTTTGTGCCTTTTTCCATCTCAGTTGTAATCCCTGTGGATGTTCCATCACCAAATCACCCATGTGCCATAACCATAGTCCAGTACATTTCCCTCCCCCCACTGTTTTTGATCCCATTTCCCATTCCACCCCCCCGTAAAATGTCTCTGGTATGTAGCTGTTCATTATTATTATTATTTTCTCCCCTAGTCCTTTATACTCCTGCTATGAGAGAAACATCCAGTATTTTCCCTTTTCTTTCTGGCTCATTTCACTAAGCATGATCTTTTCCAGTTCCATCCATGTTGCTGCAAAAGGCATGTGTTTATTTATTTATTTTTGTTGCTGAGTAATATTCCATTGTGTATATGTACCACATCTTTTTAATCCAGTCATCCATTTTGGGGCATTTGGGTTGTTTACATGTCTTTCCAATTGTAAATAATGCAGCAATAAACATGGGGGTGCAAGTATCTTTTTGAATCAGTGTTTTTGTGCCTTTTGTGTAGATACCTAGGAGTGGGATTGCTGGGTCATATGGAAGCTCCATGTATAGCAATTTGAGGAACCTCCAAACAGTTTTCCATAGTGGTTGTGCACTGTAGGACTTTTAACCTCTACTTAATAAATGTTTCCAGGAACTTCTGATGTATTTGGTTGTTGGACGATTGGAGCCATTAGAATAAACTAGAAATTTCTAGGCTCAGTATCTCTTCTTAAGATATCTTGCTAACCTCATTTCTTATGATAACTTCTCTTCACATAGTGCAAATGAAGTCTTGCTGGCTTTCTGAGGAGTCCTCACACCTTCCAGTCACACCTTTTAAACTTCCAGGACCAGACTCTTTATGAATCATTTGCAGCCAGAAATGATCCCTGAATTCGAAGTTTGGAACTGGCTTACAGTCCCTTTTTGTCTCACCCACTTCCCTCTACCTCCTGGCCCAAGTAAGTAGTAAGATTGTGGTCCTTTGAAACCTAGTCAGTCCTTTCTTATAATACGCAACTATAGGACCTTCCGCTCTTGGTGACAAGCATCTTAAGACTTCATAGCTGATTAGTGCCACTGCTGACTTGATCACCACTGCATATGCAGTGTCGTTAACTGTTCCTGGCTTATAATGGGGCGAATAAAGGTGCCAAACCCAACCTCACGTTGCCCAGAGAACTACAAATCCCAGCGGGCATTGCGCGGGACATCGGCGGACGCAGTGACGTAAGGGGGCGTGTCGAGTATGAGGGAGGGGCCGTCCTGCGGGTAGCCGGAGACTGGGGTGACTGGGGATCCTGGGGTGAGAGAGGAGAGAAAGGTGAGCCGAGCCGAAGGCGGGGACGCGCTGCTGGGCTCCCCCAGTCTATGGAGCGGGGTAAGATGGCGGAGGCGGAAAGCCTGGAGACAGCTGCGGAGCACGAGCGGATCCTACGAGAGATTGAGAGCACAGACACGGCCTGCATCGGGCCCACGCTCAGGTAACCCCGGTACCGGGGCCAGCGACGGGCGGGCACGGGCGGGACTGGGGATCAGGTTCCTCGCGGGCAGGGTGTTCGGCTAGCCCCCGCAGGGTCAGCACTGGCCTCTCCCTTCGGAGATCCCGGCGAGCGAGCTCCTCCCTCGGCGAGGCAGGTCTTTCTCCGCAGCTCTGACGTGGGGGTCCCTGCCGATCGCCGGCGCCCACCACCCGGTTATTCTTGGAGGCTCCTCCTGCCTCCCTCGGGGCCAGGCAGCCCCAGCGCCAGGCGACTGGAGCGCGCCCGTCAGCTGGTGGCTCCTGGACCTTCCCTGGAGGACATCACCTTCTCTCTCCAACTCAAACGCGGTACTGCCCAGAACATGGTACTGCCGAGACGATACAGGGTTTTACTCCACGGTGTGCTCCTCGGAATTAAGTTATTGTCTTCCTGAAACCACAGCCACTTTCTGGGAACAAGTTCCTGAAAATCGTAGGCCTGGAAGGAAGGAAGTATCCTCTCTGACCCGCACCCCTGTCCTGGGAGCGGGTGCTCACTTAAACCCTGTCAGGAAGATGACCTGTCTCTAAAGTTGCAGGCTCATAGTAGTCTCATTGCTAAGGAAAAGTTATGTCCCCTCCTGTTTCCCAGCCTATTACTTTAACTCACACATGTCCATTTTATCCGGAGATGTCAAAACAAACGCCCACCTACCTCAACAAAACTTAGGCACACTCACGATGTACAGTACAAGGCATTTAACACGGGAGTTAACGATTGTAATTTATTCACAGAAAAACAATCCTGTCAGATAAGTCGTTTAACAGCATCAGGCAAAGAGAGGTTAAGGGACTTGCCCAAGGTCACAGATACAGCGAAGAGAAAATAAAGATTCCTACTTAGGCAGTATGGATCTGGAGTTTGGTTTCTTAACTTTTGTTGTCCTGCTTCATCTGGGGATTAGGAGATGCCCATACTTCCTGTTACTTACTCACTAACCCCAGTTTCAGCTACTTTTGCCTTTCCTCTCAGTTTATTAGTGTCCTCGAACTAATTCATCTTTTTCTTTCTTGTTGGTACCTTCTGATCTCTATGCAACCAATCGATAGATAATTATCTTACCTACTTTGTAGTGCATAGGATCGCTGCTCCTTCCTTTAGAAAAGACTTATTAATCACTGCCTGTTCACTGCTGGGGAGAGTTGCCACATGAAGGAATGGTTCAAGGATAGGCTGGACACTTTCTTCCTCATCTATACCTTTATAGCTTCCTTCTCTAGGGCTCATTGTTAGCATCAGTCTCCCAGTGCCAGCCCTGGACACAGCCATCTCTGGTAGTTTGACTTTTATCCCTTAATTTACATTGTGGTTATGACTCTTATTACGCTCTTCTCTTTCCCCCTTTTCTTGAACTCTGAGGATGAATGAATGATTCTTATTTCATCATCTTTTCTAAAAACTAAAGATTACTAGTTGATATTCTGAGTGTGTTAATGGCAATTAATATTTGGTTTTTATAAAACAAAATGTTACTAGAATCACTGAAGATGCTGTTTCAGTATCTGCTAGGAAATTTGCCTGCTGAACTGCAATTGAGCGGCCAAGCCAAGGTCCACTGGAATATTTGTGATTTCCAGAGTTTTAAGGAAGGATTCCTTATGAGAAGCACCAGTGTGCCTTGGGTTGGTTGTGGTTTTGAACTGATGTCATTTTTACTGATATGAAACTAACTTCAATATTATTAATTTGGTTTGTCGGGATTTATGATTTAACTAGCCACTAAATTGTTGAGCATATTTGTATTGACTGAATTTTCTAGCATCATGATAGAAGAATGCAGAGTTATCCCTTTTTATTTGCAGAGGATACCTTCCAAGACTCCTGGTGGACACTTGAAATCTCAGATAATACCAAATCCTATATATTAACTATGTTTTGCCCTCTACATACATACATACCTCAGATATTATTTTTAAATTAGACACAGCAAGAGAAACAATAATGACATAATAAAATAGGACAATTAAAAAATATATTGTAGTAAAAGTTACAGTATTTTTTGGACCCTGGTTGACAGGGCATATGGGACTGTAAAACTGGGGATCCAGGAGAGACTACTGATATGCATTATGGTTAAAATGTTACCTGTTTTCTTTAAAACTTGCCTCATTTTTATCACTGAGTTCTTATGTCACTGGAAAGTGAGATTTTGTGGGCGTATAGGGTTTAGGATTCTTTTGCCCTAAGGGGCCACTGGAAAAAAGAATGGTAAGAACCACTTTACTGTCCCACCAATTTTAGATGCTTTCCTGACTCCCTTTGTTATTACTGGGGCTTTTCACTTTTTGTTTTCTCCTGTCTTTGGTAGATAACCCTAAGTGTTACTATCAGACCTACAGCTCAGTCATTTGAGTGTCCTATATTGTCCCCTGTCTTTGTCTTTAATCTAACTCATCTCTGCCCATATTCATAGGGTGTGAGCTCACTTTTTTTCTTTCTCCCATTCAGAATGAGGCAGCAGCAGGCACAGACTTGTTTCAGATCCCATGCATAACCATGAGTGCACCTCCATCATTATCTTCTATACTTCCTGCACAGTCATTTATCAGGTTTGATTAAGGCAGTAGGATCTTTTCCCTAACAGACCAACCCTCAACTGTAAATCTCTGACTCCTCTACCACCTTTTCATAGTTTTTCCTGTTTCTTCCATCTGTTGAGGTAATAGTTTTAAGGCAGCAGTTTCTTAATTGTTCCTGAGATAGGTTTAGTAAGTGAAGAGGAACTAATGAACAAAGAAAAACAGCAAATTGATAGCATATATGCATATACTCACCTCTAAAATTCCTACTTTTCACAAAAGTCCATTTAGCTACACTGCCTAATCTCACTCTTCCCTTTGCCACTTTGCTTGTGTATCATCACTTGTTTTCGTTCTCTGTTATAATAGCAAATATTCTTCCAACCTTATTCCTTTTTGTCTGAGCTACAGTCACTTGACTTTTTCATTATATAACGATCCTCATTTCAATCTTGAATAGGACATGCAATGCTAGTGGATTCCTGTATATCATAAGGGATTGCCTTTCCTTTTTCATTGTAATTCTGAAAGACCCAAGCATATCTATGCATATAGAAGCTGTTGCCTAGCAAATTCTTTTGGGAAAGCAGCCATCTCTTTCTTCTCTGTCTTCCTTTTAAAAATTATTTTGTCAGCTGCAGGTCTTAATGTTGCAGAAGAAGAAAGAGGCCCCTAAGATATTAGAGCCTGTCTTGTTTTAAAATAACATTAATTCTAGCTTTGTAGTACGAGCATTAAAATATTGATTTACTATCATTGTTGAATAATAGCTCTATTATTTTATTTTTTTTCAAATATCTTTATATCTCTAATCTTTTTTCATATGCTTATTCATTAGCAGTCATTTCCTCAATTTGCTTTCTAGGTATTAGCAATTAACATTCAGCCTTAATTGCCATTTCAGATTTTGTTTTCAAACTTAAAAATTTAACAGTGAAATAGATTGCCTTAGAAAAATAGCATGAGATATAATTTTCATGTCGTACAGTTTGGTAAACTATTAAAGTGTGCAATTCAGTAGTAAAGTACAGACTTGTGCAGGGATCACCACAATGTAATTTGAAACATTTCGGCCATCCCAAAAGAAGCCCCATACTCATTAGCAGTTACTTTTCATTCCTCTCTTCACACCCTCTCACTGCTGTCTTTCTGTGCTTGTCTTTTCTGGACTTTTCATAGAAATGGAATAATAATACCTTTTATTTCTTGCATAATATTTTCAAGGTTCATCCAAGAGGTAGTTTGAATTGGTACTTCATTTCTTTTTTTTGCCGAATAGTATTCCATCATACAGCTATACCACGCCTTATTTATTCATCACCGTGGACATTTGGGTTGCTTCCATTTGGGGACTGTTGTGAATGATGCTTCTATGAACATTTGTGTACTAGTTTTTGTGTGGACATATGTTTTAATTTTTCTTGTGCATGTAAGTAAGAGTGGAATTTCTAGGTCATATGGTAACTCTGTCTTTAACATTTTGAGGAACTGCCAGACTGTTTTCTAAAATGCTACATACCCACCAGCAGTGTATGAGGATTCCAATTTCTCCATATCCTTGTATATTTTTAATTTTAGCCTTCTTAGGGGTTAAGTTGCAACTCACTGTAGTTGTAATTTGCTTTTCCCTATTGGCTAATTTTTTCATGTGCCCTTTGGTTATTTGTTTCTCTTCTTTGGAGAACTGTCTGTTCATATTCTTTGCTCAGTTTTTAATTGGGCTATTTGCCTTTCTGTTGTTGAGTTGTAAGTGTTCTTATGAAATACATGATTTGTAAATACTTTCTTTGGTTTTGTGAGTGGTCTTTTAAATTTTTTGATGGCATCATTTGCAGCACAAAAGTTTTTAAATTCTGATGTAGTTGTTTATTTATTTGCTTGTTCTTCTGCTATTGTAGCTTAGAAGCCTTTGCTCAACCCAAGATTATGACAGTTTTGTCTGCCTTTTTTCCTAAAGAGTTTTATATCTTACATCAAAGTCCGTGACCCATTGTGAGTTAATTTTTGCCCAGAGTTGCATTGAGTATAGGTAAGAACATCCATTTCATTTTTTTTTTTTTACTGTTGCTATTCATTTGTTCCAGCACCATTTTTTTTTTACCCAGATATATTCCCCGCTGATTTATCTTGATCTTTTACCAAGAAATTTATATTCCTTATTTGTGGCAGAAATGTAGCAGTCAAGACCCTGTCATTATGTTCATTTGACTTTGCTATTCAGCCTGATCTGTCATGTTGAGTGCTCTTACCCAGGAAGAAATTTGCTCTTATGTTTTCTGCTAATGGTTTTCTCTTTTTAGCTCAATTGCTGCCTTCCATTTCGAGGTTCCTGTGCTTTAAAAATGATGTGATTGCTGTATTTGATCTTGATAAAGCTCTTTACTTTAGGGACTGATTCATCTTTTACAGAATTATGTCATACTACCTGGCCTAATGTAGAAT